TAGTGATATACAGTATGATAACACACGTGTACAGTAGAAAACTAGTGATATACAGTGTAATGACACACGTGTACAGTAGCAAAACTAGTGATATACAGTGTGATAACACACGTGTACAGTGCTTAATTACACACAAACAAACAAAAAGTAATTATATATATATTTTGTCTGTTACAAGACTTATTGTAAGGAACATATCAACCAAATTAGACGAAATGACTCATTTTAGGGGGGGGGGTTAATTTGTGTGTGTGTGTGTCTACTTCCAATACAATCCTTGGAATTCGTAGACAAATTAGTTTTTGTTTTTTCTAACGAGAATGAAACAGTTTTAGTCGGGGTAGATTTCTTCTGTTTGTTTGTTATAACTTCGGAAGGTTATTTGGAAATGTATACAGTTTGAGGAAACACACCGTTATTACCTGCCTCTCCGCGAGTTAGTCATTACAGGCAATAGACACCATGCTAAGGGTTAATTTGTTGGGTTGATGTAATTTCCTTCCTTAGTTTAATCAACCCTCATTTATTCTTTGCGCCCGATAGAAGGTCGTTATCGTCTAGGAATTAAAAACCAAGAGAAACAGCTTTTGTTGCGTGCTGAACGCGATAGATGCGGTTGATCTAATGAGTTTCCATTAATTTTCCCAAGAGGACGCGTTTATATCGAGCTCGCTAACGTTGTGATGCATTATCCCCGTCGTATTACAACATTCGTCATTTACAATTCTTCTATACTCTGGATCGCTAGGCCTAAAACTAGACGGTACACATATCATGCTTAGTTGTTGAAGATGATGAAAGGAGGAATGAGGGGAACGGAAGAGATTTCTTAACCCTATTTCTAGAGTAGATCTGGTGTTATCTGTCACTATCGTGAAGACAAGTATTACGTAAGCTTTGTTGGTTTCTTATTGTTTTAAAAGACGTAACTAAGGAAATATAACTATGTAGTTTTCAACATCTTGTAGCCCAACTCAAACAGTTTTTACTGTTCATTTTTTGTTTGTTTGTTTTCATTCCAGTGAATAGTGTCACCCCATAAAATGGCAACGACGCAAGAAAAGGCTCAACGCGTCGTTTGGCTTGCAACGACCAAGTCAATGACTGTGGTGCAGCGTAATTAAAGACGCCAGTACAGGACAGAAGTATGGGGGTATGTTAAGGATATCGTGTATCGCACACCTACAGCAAACATCACGGATCTAAATACCTGCATAACGGACGCCATCGCCACTGTAACTGTGGACATTTTGCAGCGAACATGGACAGAAATCGATAATCGATTAAACGTGCTGAGAGCCATTAATGTTAATAAAGACTGTTTGAATTGGTGTACAAGATGTTGAAAACTGTATGTTGTATATACTTAGTTATTTAATTATTACATTTTAAAATAGGAAAGACAACATACATACACTACAAACCGTTGATCACACCACATAATGCCCCCCAGTGGTACAGCGGTATGTCTGCGGACTTACAACGCTAGAATCCTGGTTTCGATACCCGTGGTGGGCAAAGCACAGATAGCCCATTGTGTAGCTTTGTGCTTAATTACAAACAAGCACCACATAATTAAAATCATCTATTGCAAAAAATAAAGATCATTATTTTTGGAATATACATCGTATTTTTTATCCATCCCATGCCTGTAAATTGTAACATGGAAAGTTCATTTTTAGGGCCACGTGGGAATT